TGAGCTAGAGCTTTGGAGGGTTTTTTTTGTCCAGGAAGGCTAGATATGAATTCAATATACATGGTGCATCATGTAAGCATCTCTAGGTATAAGCAAAACCTTTCCTACACCTCTTAATAAACTTTCCCTAGTTTTATGAGAAGCCTGTCCGTCAGAAGTCAGACCTAGAAAAACTTCTGAACAAATCTGTTAGTACAAAGCAAGTGAGAGCGGCTCTGGTGAACAGACAGCTCTGCAGCAAAGCCTGGACTCACATCTTTTTCCTGCTGCTTCTCTGGGTGCCCAGGGAAAACATTCAAGAAGATTCCCCACCAGTCACCATATGTAAGCCACAGTCCTCATCAGAGGAACTCCACAAGGGCAAGAGACACGTGCAGATCTCCCAGGAACACCCTGTTAGCATCTGGGAGTCCAGGATTTTAAGCTGAAAGAAAGGGGGCTTGGAGAGAGGAGTAAAGGGTGGGAGAAGCCCAGGGTAAGCTCCACTGCCACAGCAGCCTCGGTGCTCACCAGCATCAGCACACTTTAGGAGCACGTGCTGCAGCGTTAGGATCCCTTGGCCAGGGTTGACCATCTAGCAACGAATGGCTACTATGGCCCACAGCTGGTATTTGAGTGCCTCAGATATACACCACAGCTACTTACTCTCTTACCGGAGTCTTCACCTGCTACACAAATCAAATCTTTATTCTGCTTCAAGATTTCTGAACCAAAGGTGACTATAGGCTGCCAGGTCAGTAAGAAGACAGCAAAACTAATGCAGTGAAACTATTCCTCTGCTCTTCTCTAGCTCTGCTACCGCCGGTGTTTGACCCTCACATCAGGAGCAATTACACCAAGGGTGTTCTGACACAGTTGGTAATTGGACTCTGACTCAGCTTCATTGTCAATTTGTTGCATACAATTACTAGGGCTGTTCAAGGAGGTATTAGCATTTCTTTACAGAACAGGACTTTGTAGTACAGGTCTTTTGCTGGTCACAACCACCACCACACACTTCGCCTCTAAGGTTTACCACTTTCTAACACCTCAGTTCTGCCCGAGGACCACATATGGTTTTTTAGAGCTCAACTTTCATAAGGTCTGTATTCTGCTAGGTCGCTCTTCTTATGAAGAATCACCAGGTCATTTATACCAAAAAGCAGAAGCCAGAGAAAACACTGTGGAGTTAGTCACATACATGGTTTGAAAAGGCACATGAGAATGAAGAGTGTGGGGAGCAGAAATTTCAATGGGAAAGAAGCATAATCCTGACTTCTTTTGTAATGCTGGTATAAAAATCACAACCAAAACCAGCAGTTTTTTAAGCCCCTAGAGAATCCTGCCACAGCCTGCTGTACAGCATGGAATGCAAAACCCTTGTGGGAGAGGACTTTATTTCCTCCTAAAGCTCTTCATCCTCATGTGGCGTTTCTTCAATTTACCAGTTCATGACTAACCCTCTTCTCTAACAGCCACGTGGTTTGTTTACTCTTAGCTGCTGCTACCACCAACTCCTCTTCCCTGAGCTGCTAAAATTAGCATTGCCAAAAGGCTTGAACATCCTTGAATGAGAAGTAGCTAATACTTCACGTAAACCATAGGATGCATGCGTGCTTACAAAGCAGCTTGTAGCACCGGGACCAGAGTGCGGATATCTGCAAAACTGCCCTCCATAAGCAGGCACAAACAGTAATGGGAAGAAAAGCAGAACGTGTACCTCAATGAGGTGCAAACCCAAAAAGATACTGCCTATCATTTTTCTCTTTCAAATGCAAGAACAGCAAGCAAGTTTTTATTCCTTGTTTAGATACAACTAGGTTTTGAAATGGAAGCACTAAAACCACTACTAGCCTTAGCACATTAAACTAGCTGCCCCAGTGCAGTAGTTGCCTTCCAAACCTGAACCTTCAGCTAGCACCAAGGCAGTGCTCACATGCATTAAAAACAAGGTTATAGTAATACACGAAGTCCTTTAGCAATGGATGATTCTGATGGCGACAGCTCCAAGACAAAGCTTTACCCATCCACGTGCATTTGGAGGTCCAGCAGACTGAGCTCTTTCCACTTTTCATTCAGCAGGCGTTCAAGCCTTGTTCTGCAGGAACCCATGCCGATACCGCAGTCTCGCCAAACCCAACATGCATTGAATGTTTTCAGCATTCCTATATTATGGCTCAGAAGGAGCCGTTAGATCACAGAGATTAAGACCATTCCCACACAGACAAGAAAAGCAACTTTAGCCCTTTTGGCTGGAAGAGTCAGCTGATCCCTCCCTTGCTTAAGACGTCATTATCCAAGATCCTTTCCTCCTCATGCCTCATCCTCCTGTCAGTCTGCAGCTTAAACCCCTCGCATTTCCAGTCACATTTTATCTGCATTTACAGCTATGCAACATGCTAAGCAATTCCTCTCCACCTTCACCCCTCCGGATGTTTAGATTCTCTCTTCGCTAGGGAGGAGATTCATCTGGCATCTTAGATGAAGATATTCTCCCTTTACTGACAATCACTTGTCTCCAGTAACTACTTGCTCCAGATTTCCTCTGCAGCTTGTAGAGGCTACAGTTAGGTTTGGGATGTATTTCACTAAAAACACTACTGAGCCAAACTGCACCTTTTACTTGTGCCTACTAATGGCTGAATGGAGTTTAGAGCAGACTAACAGTTTGCTATTCCTTTAGCCAGGCACTTGCAACTACAAACCCACACTGACTTGCAGCTGTGTTGTGTATGTGTACATTACACACAACATATAGCTGGGAGGAAATCTCTCCTCTTTAGACCTCCTGGCTAATAACACACCCATACAAATAAGAGGTACTGTCCTGGTTTCAGCAGGGATAGAGTTAATTTCCTTCCTAGTAGCTGGTACAGTGCTGTGTTTTGGATTTAGGATGAGAATAATGTTGATAACACACTGATGTTTTAGTTGTTGCTA